TGTCCAAGCATCTGAAAACAATCTAGTTTATACGGTGCTTGGCTCTAAAAAGCACATTAGATCAATGGATGAAAGTAGATCTGATGTTGAATATGTCGAGGTATGTTGTGGTATCATAATTATTTACGCACTACATCGGTATTGACTTCCCAAACATTATCGACTATTAAATGACCCGGACAATTGCAATCGACTACATTATCTACCTAGTTACTTAATTATTCTAGTCGCCTAATTACAATTTAGATATACGTATAATGTAGCCCGTATTCTTTTCTTTCTGTTTCTACTCAACATCGACAACCCTCTAGATACAAAGGTATAGAGATGATAGTTTGCCCGACGATGGAACTATTTACTACGCTGTAAACGATGGCGACGGTACATATGTTCACGCAATGGAAGAGGATGACCAACAATATCAGTACGTTAACGAAGAACCTATGGACCAAGATAATCAGGAATGGGAGGAATCCAATCAAACCGCGGAGGATCAGCAGGAGGAACAGGTAAGTCGCATATCGCAAGGAACAGGCGCATATGCCGTCAACGTATACTTTGAAAATAATAACGTTCGTGTTTTATCGTAGACGGAACAAGATCAAATCTTCTTGCACGAAGATTCAGACGGGCAGTTGTATTTTAAAAACGAATACGGACAATTGCAACCAGTTTACATGACTCCCGATGGAAATTATGCAATAGCGGAAAACAGTAGCGACGAGCAGGATAGCCAGGGAGGAGATCTTAATCAAATACAAGAGGAGCAGGCGGAAACGGATAGTTACATAATTCCGGAGCTTGACGTTAAGCAATTTAACTCGAAAAAGGTACTGTGCCCCGTCTAGATTTCATTTCCCGGCATATCCAGTTTCTCAATGCATCCAGTTTCTCAAACGCTTAACAATGTTTTGTAGATCGATCAGAGTCAAGAGCCTGACAACGACGACAGCACTGTAACAATATCACTGATTATATCGGAAGATGAAAACGGACAAAAGCGAACTCAAGTCATAATACCGACTCCAGCCGAGTCAAAATGCGACATCTGCAGCAAGACGTTCAAAACGTCCTTGCAATTACTTAAGCACAATCGCTTGAAGCACGCGAGGGAAGAAGACATTACAACGAGAAACTTCCCTTGCGATATGTGCCCTAAAAGGTATCGTATAGTTGTATAATAATCAATTGATTAATTAATCGGTGAATTGGTAAATAAGAGGCAACGATAAGAGCGATAAGATATTCCTTACACGCTTATTTGCTTAAATTCGTAGATTTTCCGATCAAAATTCCTTGGCTCGTCATCGAAAGACTCACACCGAAAGTCGACTATTTCAGTGTTTGGAATGTCACAAATCCTTCCCCACGGCCAATACACTGAGGAAACATTTGTCAATGCATAATCCGGATTCTCTTCCATTGCCTTGCATTTATTGCGGGCGTCGATTTTCCGATAAAGTCAGTCTTACAAAACACGAGCAGTCGCATTTAGCTGGGGAAAAGCGAACGCACGTTTGTGACATTTGCCAAAAGTGTTTCTCGAACATCACGGACTTGAATATCCATAAAAAGCATCACGATCCAGATAGGAAATTCGACTGCGGTGTCTGCGGACGAGAATTCAATCGATTAAATAATCTACAACGCCACATGATGGTACATCAACAGGTAATTAAACGAGCTTTACAATTACAACCCATCCATCTTACAATAAACAGTACGGTAATGAGATATCCGCCGCGTTTTATGACACGGCGCTTTAATTTAAAATTCTTAAACATCAATAATAATGATAATATCAAATGATTAAATATTAATAATTACACTTTATTAAAACGCTCATTCGATTATGTGATTCGAGGGCATTTTCATAAAACGTTTGCACTTGTTGCATTGCTTGGTCGTGTGACTCGACTGTGCGATATTTTTATGTTTATGTTGATGTGTTGATATGTTGATGCAAGATTTTGCGAGCATCGTCAAATTTTACGCGCAAATCATTAAGGTTAACATCATTTTAAAATTCGTCCACGATATCTTATCGTACGTGTGCGTAAAATTATTTCATTCAAACATTAATTAACGATCAATATTTCTTTTAATGCCACGTTTATTTAATCGTTATATCAGCGCCAAGCATCTCACATCCGAGCCAAATCGTTATATTCCATTCATCTGCCTGTCTACTTTAAATATCTATTTATTAATTATTACCTATTACCTATTAACTGTTACTTAATACGCAGTTGTAAAGCCCTAATTTACACGTAAATTTTGCTTATTATCTGCCATTACTTTTTATGACATTTACATACACGGACACGCGCACAGGCAGCATAGAATCTCTATAATTTTTTAATTAAAATAAATTTTAGAACAAACATTGTAAATGTAAAATGTAATTATGTTACTTGGTGGATATTTCAGCAAGAAGCAAACGAAGAGATTCTCTCCTGTAATGTTTGTGGTATAACGTACAAATTTTCAAGCTCTTTGACTAGACATATGGTTACGACGCATATGAATCCTGAAAAGCTTCGGCAGCAAGCCGAAGAACAAAGGAGGAAGCGTGAAAATAATTATCGCCGTTACTTAGAAAATCGTAAAACCTTCGAAAATCAACAACCAAAACGTGCTTATCGTCGCTCAATGGGCAGATTAATGGATGACGAAGAAGACGAGGCTGATTGATTTGATGAAGATTTTCAATATAACGACTAGTTATATTAGTCCAACTATATTGATAATGAGAGAAAGATATGTGAATTTGATTCAATATTTTTAATCGACTTCCTTTAAAATTTTTGGGGAAAAAAACTTGAATCAATCAATTTTTTTTTTTTTTTTTTTTTTTTTTTTTTTTTTTTTTTTTTTTTTTTTTTTTTTTTAACAAAACAAGAATAAAATGTAAATCGGTGTGAAAAAAACGAATTATTATCTTTATAAATGTGAAAAGTCGTCTGTTTATAAATAATTCGACAAGTATTTGTTGAATAGTCAAATAAATAGACGTTTTCTCTAGAATTGTATTCTAAGTACAAAAATTTGTAGAATTATATGAAACATAAATTGTTTTGTTCAGTTTCGTAACGTATTTCTTTTCATAAAGAAGACGACATTCTAACTAATATAGGACATTGTAATAATTAATGAAATCACTTGGTCGCGCCATTTGTTCAAGGCGATTGCGCACTTGTAGAAATAGGTCGTGCCTCTAATGCAAAGAGCTTGGACAAATAAAATCAAGTTTAAAACAGCATGGTTTTTGATACTATCAAGTTTAATTAATCATTTCTGAGCGATTAAAGTCAGATTTGAATTGTATCTTTTAAAATAATTATACATTGCTTTTTAAGTGCAACATTTAATATTCTATCGAATAATAATCGGTAGTCTATGTAAAATATTCATTTATTTCAGGCGAAACTGACTGCCTCTTCTGTATTATTTACACAATGTTTCTAGAGACTTATAATAAGCATATTTTATGTCGTACTCCATGTCATACCAATAATTTATAGCAATGCAAGCGTGCGATTGCTTTACATGATGAAACCATAGCGAAGGCAAATAAAAGACGTCACCTTTACTCACTTTAATGTCTAATTTCAGTGCATTCTTATATCTTGGATACCTGCAAGAGATTTTGTATAATTTATATTTAGAGTTATTCGTTATTTATAAGCATTGTAAATTAACGAGAGGAAGATAACATTGATGGTTAACTTTTCAAAATTGGGATTTAATGGATTAATAGCAATCCAAGGTACTAAGTCAGGCGTAACTTTGCCATTACAGTCGATGCATTTTTCCAGCTCAATGGCATTTAAATTTTTTATTTTGCATGTGGATTCGGTTATCCACTTTCCTCGCTCAATTTCTTTATAAGCAGCCAACGGATACATTTTGTACGGAATCCATGGGAGGTCCGTCGGTGGATGCAAAATAAATTCTTTTTCACCAGATATAACGCAATAGATATTTTCATATGGATCTTTGTGCACTGTTTGAACAGACAAAAAGAAAATTATTAAGAAATATTTAGACATATTTTAAGACTTATAATTATCTCGGACGAAAAAACCACAATGAATCTCATTTCTTTCATTACTCGTTCGATTATCTATTATTGTAATTATAATTTAAGCTTTAAACAAATATCGATTAAAGCGCAAATTCAACAAAGAGCTCTTTTATTTATTCAGTTTAGTTGCTCGATTGTTAATATATATATATATATATATATATATATAAATTAATACAAAATAAATACGGACAAAATAATTAGATTTTTCGATAATTACAAGCTTTAGAATGAAAAGTAAAACAAAAAGAAAGAAAAGTCACTGCGACCTTAAATGTTAATTTATACGCAACTGGACGTCACTGCCCTTGCATCTCCCATCCAAAAATTTACAGCATCCGGCTTTGCGGAAAATGCCTTAGTTGCCCAGGATAATCCACGAGAATCTATATCCCTCCAAAGTTCTGAAAATTCTTTCTCAAAATTGGAATTTTGCTTTTGTATATAGAAAATGCTGTCGTTGCGGGGCCTTTCCAAACTTTCTAAAAATTCATTCATTGTCATGCAAAGAACTCCTTATCACTCGCACCAGACAACTTCATCTCATTCGCAACGGCATCCGCATAACCATTTGGCGTTACAGCTACATTTACCATTTTATTTCCTATCTTATCTCTAAAGTATGGTGTACTCCAATTCTCTACGGCCTTCCAATGTTTAATTCCACCCCTCACGACAACTGGTATATTTTTCGACACGTAATTTTTATAAAAATCTAGCGTCGATATGCTTTCATATAATTCAGCAATTTTTGTCGGTATATACAATTCTAAAATCATTATAACTTAAAATTATTATTAGATAATTATTTTAATTTATGCAATTTTAAATATCACGATAAGCTGTCACGTGGTAATCATCGATTACCAATAATTATTACGTTAATTATTGCAAATTTAACACCTCGTAATATTCATGCGTGTAGACTACCTTTGGCGAAATGTTAACAAACCTCGAGACTCTCGGGATAGTACATGAAAGGCATTTTCAATCCTATTTTCACTCAAATCGTTCATACTTTTTTATTTACTAACAATTAACTCTGTCCTTACTTATACTAAAACAGTAACTTTATCATTCAGGATAGTAAAATACGATCGTCGAGCTATCGAATAACATAAGAAAAATGATAAGAAACGAAACTACGCGCGTCCTTTTTATAATAATATGATGAGAAAGGTCCGGAACATAATTTGTAATACTGCCTAAGAATTGTAACTAACGAGAGTAATATCTAGGAATTGTAATTTAATATTAAATTGATTTGGAAACTTGCCGTAACCTCAAAATAGTCACTATTGGCTAAAGCATAAACTTGTAATGAAGAGAGATTGATAACGAGTGAAAAATCTACTTTGACACAGAAAGTCGTTTTGTTTTCATTACCTGTCCGAAGATTGCGCATTACACTTTTAAAATCAAAGGCTTTCAACAACAACAACAACACACACACACACACACACACATATATGGATTAGAACAGTTAATTGCCTATGTCAAATCGAAATTTATTAAATGAAAATCTTGATCCGTGGAAACTTCTAGGAAGTTTAACAAATTAGGTACATCATTTTCCGGTGATCTATCCCTCCTCGATCTTCTGCATAGTTATTACCATCCCTCCGTGACCTAATACATATAATAGGACGATTATTACTGTGTATAGCAACAATGATCGATTTGTCATTAAGTCTCTCGTTGATATTTCGCGCAATCTCAATGCTCGAACGATGCTATACAAGAAAAGCATTGAAAGTCATCTCTTTTTTGCCCTGTATTTGCAGGCGTATCCCGATATATTATATCGCGCAGTAAACAGAAACTAAATTATTCAATGATTTGAGACCATTATTATTAAAATTTTACAAGGGGTCATTTCTCAAAGGCATGCTTCATTGATATGAAGCTATTTTGAAGTAGACTCATTAGAGATAGTACGTTTGCGCTATTTGCTGATTATTTTAGGCAGTATTTCCCTCTCTGGTTATTTCACAGCTTTTGCATTATGTTATCGAGCACTCGATAAATGATGTTACTCTTATAAGTACTTGGTGGCACTGTTTGACTGAATTCTTTATTCTCAATGTGCCGAGCCAATCTTTTATATATAACATATTATAATATATTTATGTTTATCAATGTGCTTTTTGGTTTGGAGTAACAACCGCATATAAAACAATCTTGTCTCTTGGAGTAGGGGAAAGTTTCAAACAATCGTAGTCCGGAATAGCTCGGTTATATTAAACGATTAATTCACAATGGCATTTCATTCCTTTGGCTCGTTTCCATTTTATTATTATATATATATATGTGTGTGTGCGTGCGTATATTTGGTGAATCAATTAAAAGTTTATGCATATACATAATATATAATATTCGACATCGAGTAGAGACTCAGAATAGAAAAAAGGCGATTTACTTAAAGTTAATTTTTTTTATCTAATCGGTAACAATGTTGTTTAAAGGTTGAATCTTTGAATTACTCAGGCAATTTGTGTTTCATGGAATAAGCTTTGAATGGGTGTAATCCATTCATATAGCCAACATTATTTATGCTCTCCTTTGTAAAATTAATAAAAAAAAATTATTAATAAACTAATAATTACATGACTAGTGATGCTGTTCTAGTGCTAAAGGTAAAACATGTGAAAATAATGAATATTTCTTTAGCTATGATGTAGCTATTTTCATCTTAATAACGTAAATGTTGACTACAAGGTAGATACGAGATTTCGTAACTATTATATTCTGTTTATTGTTTGAAATTGTTTAAATATACATCCTCTGTCGTAATGGTTAAAATATTATTTCTTGCAAGTAATTGAACTATAAAGAAAAAAAGAAATTGTCTGGCCGGCTTCGAACTTACTTCACATACATATGCATAAATTGTTATAATTACTTTTATCGCATACTTACTTTATTTTTCAATTTCAATCGATATTACCTACAATGAAAATAGCCGGATTTACTAGTTTATAAGCTTAGTTGGATATGCGCCCTTCCTTATCAATGACATTTCTTAATCGAGTGTTTAAAAAGAAATATTATGATTCGTGACGAAATATTGTCGGCATACCTCATTTTTCATTCTCTACATCTTAAAACACCTCTCACATCAACATCAAGGAATTTGTTTTCTAATAATGTTTATGCTACGGTACATGTATCGATAATCTGAATAATAATTTTTATGCCATATAGTCAAAATATTTTTACTATAAGTTGTTTGATAATTTTTCGTTGGGCTAGCGGTCATGTTACTAGCGACTTAATGTATTCTCAGCAACTAATTTACTCATTTCGATGTAATTTAGTTTAAAAGTAATTCCTTCTTGAACATGATTGCTAAGCACGCGTGTGTGTATGTGTTGGTGCAAAAGAATAAAAAATTAATCAAGTATACACACACGCGCGGGCAAACACTTTTTTTTATATTTCATTATATTATTAAATATTTTCAATCTTTAAATTTATATTCTCTGCTTCAATCATGAAAATATTACAAATTTTTATTAATGCAAAATCAACTGCGAAAAGAAAAAATTGTTCCAAATGCCAATCTATTGTATATATGTAAATCACTTCAAGCTAAAGGGCATTAAATAATTATTTTTAATTATATTACTGCCTTAAATTACCTTTAAAAAGCAGTTCTTGTCAAACTAGCAACATTAAATTCAACGGAATCGTGCAATTCTTCTAGTACTCTCGATTTCGCACAATATTATATTTTATGTTTCATCCAATTTTCATAAGTTAGTTATTTTTTTTTGTTTTTTTTTGTTGCGTTTTTAGCAACTTTTCTTTAACTTGACGAGTTAATCCAACGGGGATTTACATTATGATACAGTAATACTCGTATGGACGTTTTCTCTCTTAATATATGAAAATGGTCATTGTGACTCACTTTTTTAAAGTTCTAGAATAATTTTCGATTTTCCTGAAACTTTTGTTTTCGTCATCGTAAATGTAAAAATCATTATTTTTAAGAACTGCTTTTAAGACTATTAACGATGCGTATTTTTTTTGCTATTAGAGGAGTAGAATATCCGTTCTTTTTATATTTCTCAATTTTATCAGTTTTTTAATCATTACAATAAATTGTATTATTAAACTTTGTAATTTCTTAATACAATATATTGTATTCGAAACATATATGTATATAACTCGAGTCATTATTCAAACAAATAATGAATTAGTGAATATGCGAATTAAGGGTATGTCTACAAAATAGAATTTTAGTTATTTACATGTGAGTATTATAAAATGTTAAAATTATGGTAATTATATGAATTATCTAAATATAAATATAAAAAACTAGGTCTGTTATTAATTTGTAATAAAGCGATAAGAACTGAAAGATTAGAGAACTTTCAATGTTCACTCACTTTTTAATCTAATAAGCGAACGGCAAATGTATAATAATTAACAATATATTAAGTAATAAAAATATATTATAAAAAATATCCTTTTTATTTTCTTATAAAATAATAATCTCTATTTCCTTTATTATACGCTCAATAATAGAGCTATTTTTAAAGAGCTTAATATTTATGTTAAATCTTCAAACTAAAATTATATTATTACATAATAAAACAATTTTTTTACAAATTTATTACATTATTGTTATTCGGTGAAAGAAAGGGGCTTGTAAATATTATACTATATCTTGGTTTTTGACATCGGATACATTTAAAAAATTGTTCATACTGTTTTATTTCTTTATTATCTTTTTAATTGATTATAGATAATAATGATTAAAGGCTATTATCAATTTCTTACATAGTGGATCATGTAGAAGAAAGGCCTTGAACTAATCTAATTGAAGTAATTAACATCAAATTATGAACAAATTACAATACATCAAGTCTCATTTTACTAGATTATTTCTGTTGGCCAAATAAAAGTAAATGAAAAAATTGATAAAAGATTCCTTATCGTAAATAGCACCGAATTTATATTATCCCTCGCATTCTATTCAAATCCTTCGCGCCAATTGCTCATTGGATTCCGTTATCCTCTACCTCTACTACCCATCACAAGTAATATACCAAATAGAATGTAAATTTTTAAATTGGGAAGGGATTTCTGATACACGTATCCGGAGAACATAAAGTCTGTGGAATGTGTATTCTGCGTGCAGGAGTGATGTTATTTTGAAATAAAAAAATTTCTCGGACACCGTGCAATGGGATAATATGAAAATTTTTTCAATTGTAATAATTAATATTCTTTCAGTACCGACAAATATTATAAAAAAAATATATAGACGCATTTTTTATTCAAACAACGATTATATTCTTTAATTAAATATCTTTTTTTTTTATAAATTATAAATATTATTCTGTAATTTAAAAATATCGAATAATAGAAATAATTAAAGTTTCAGAAATAAGAAATCAATTATTAAAAATTATACCATATGACTGAAAATCTTTTTATTGAGTGGCATTTAAACGTGAATTTAAATACTTATGAAAATATGTCTCGTTTTGTCTGATAATTTACGTAAATATGAGCAGCATGAATATTGAAATTCATACTTAATTATCATTTCCCTTGAAATTGCAAATTTAAGAACATGTAATATTGAACAATGATAACAATAATAATATTAATAAATAATAATTATAATAATAAATACCGGTCAATAGTTATTTGCCGATGATAAATAGTGTAGCAGTTGTTGATAAACGGAAATAGGCTTTTCTTTTCTCTACATCAATCGGATTGTTTATTTTATATAATATATTGAATTATATATACATACTTTATATACTTTACATTACTTACATTACTTATATACTTTATATCTTATGAATATAATGAGTTTTTGCTATTTTTATTAAAATATTTTTATATATTAAAATTTTATTTATTAAAATATCTTTAAATATTGGATGTATACATGGATAAAACAACTTCTATTTACAAAAAAAAAAAAAAAAAAAAAAAAAAAAAAATAAATAAAAAGATCAGAACATATATCCATTATTCATAAGAAGCAATTAATTATTTTGGTTTTCAGTAAATGAAATCTCTATTTTTGCATATTACAAAATAGTAATTGTACAACATTGCAGGCTACTTGGTCCTAATTAAAACATGGATAAACTTGAGTAAAAAAAAATATATCTCGGCAGAATGCACCTATGAATTCATAAAGTGCAGAATAAAAGTTATTTAAGAAAAATCGTCTAATTTTACAAAAATTAAACAGTTACTTATTTTAGAAAAGATTTGTGCAATACTCAATATTAAAAGAATAAGAAAAGGTAAAATTAATTAATGAAAAAGACATTTATTAATTAATAATGTAATACTATGTTATTAAATTATATAGTAATAACAAAATAGTCATTTAAGAAAATTTTTGAATGTTATAATAGTTTTTGGAAAATCTTACGAATAGTTTTATTAAAAGGATATTTTATATAATAACAATGTAAACAAAAGTACTGCAAAATCGTGAAAAATATTTTAAAAAGATTTTACTATAATTCTGTAAGATATTGCACAAATTCGATTATAACTAAAGTTTCCTGTCATTCAATAATGTGTTGATTTAATAAAAAATAGATTTTTAATTTAAAAATAATTTATATACAATTCATAAGTCATATTTATTTGAATTATCGCGTATGATAATACATACAATCGTTTGACAGTTAAACCGATTTCATATTATTACATATAAAGAATTTAATCGTAATACTTTACGTGAAGCTAAGAACAAAAAAATTATATACGAGATAAATTACAATTGAAAACAAATTTGATTTCACTATTTGTACTTTTTTGGCATAAAAAATACAAACAAAGCATTTTTTCATTTCGTGATCAGAAATTTTAAATGATAATGTATTATTATTTTTAATTATGAATCTATTCTTTAATTAGATTTTCAGTTATCCACTTACGTAAGTGTTTCGCAATGAATACTCAATATAAAGTTCATGTACATAAAAAGAGTATTTTAATAAAAAAATTTTTAACGAAAATACCATGGCATTCTTATTTAACACAGATATAAAAAGTTTGAATTTAATGTACTTAAATAAATACATTAATAATTTTATATCACAAATATTTAATTAATGTAAGTATACATGGGCATATTTGAATAACAATATTATACAAATATAAGTGCTTATATGTATTAAAATACTTTTCAAAAATATTACTTCTTTTAAAATCCAACATGACTTTAGCAATAATTTGAATTTTATGTTTGTTGTTTATAATTTTATAATAAAAATTGTAAGGACATAAAAAAGAAAAGGTACATATTGACAAATTTATAATTTACAAACTTATAAGAAACTAAATGATATTCCGAGTTTTATCTTGATTTTTTTCAAATTTGATATGATTCAGTTTATAGGCGTAATAGTTTTACATAACAGGTTCGACTAATTATAGTTAAAACAATTCAAAAAAAAATTCGTTAAAAAATCAATTTTAATTTAAATAATTTTTTATTATATTGCAATTTAATTATTAATTTAAATTAATTAACTTAATCAGGAAAGTGTATATTTGCTAAGGCATACTTTGTTCTCTTATTATCAAATTCTTTTTATAACAATATATATTTGTTGGCTAAAGTAATTAATATTCGCTGAAGTAATATTTACATAATTTACATATTTCCTTGAATATATTCTACATGAAAACTTAATATATACTATCGACTTAGTAGTCGTATTATAATTTTTGTTTTGGAAAAATATATAAAATTGCTTTTTGTTAGAAAATCAACAGATTTTCAATTATATAATAGATTTTATAAAATATTTTGATTCTTGAATATTTTCTTATATTAAAATATATATCGTTTGATATTTATTAAAACTTTAAATTTTCGAATTCATTAAAAAAAAAAGTAAAAGAAAAAAAAAGAAGACATAGATGAAATATCGAAAGATAATTTTATGTATTTTATGTCACTCATTTCTAGAAATTAAAAATTATGCTTACGAAAAGACATCTTACGTATAGCGATGCGCAACCTTTGCATACGAGATAAAATATAAGAATTTTAACGAATGTAAAAAAAAGAGTTTCTTGTCGGTAATAATATATCACTGCTTAAACATAAACATTCACTATAAAAAATGGGATATAATTTTCAAACAATTTCAATATAAGACTATTCCCCTTTCAAGATACGTATAACATTATTCAGAGTACAACAAATAAAAAGTAAGTGTCCTTCATTTCGACCTTCTCGAATTAGCTGATTGATTTATTCTCACGTCCCTGTTTGATACTAATATTGTCTTACTATAGTACCCTAACCGCCGCGCATTTAGTTATTTCAATCATGGCTTTGATGACGAATGCGTAGGTCTTATCAAGTACTATACATAATCCAATATGAATTACTTCGCTTACCATAGTCCCCTGCACGCAGAGCAAAGAGACTGCACTTAACAATTGTCCAACTCGCGCACGTATAAGCAGCAATTATGCGTATGTACATGCACGCGCGAACGAAGTTTGAAATAAGTCAAATATCTTGAAATATCTTGAGAGTTTTCGTGACTTACGAGTTATTATAAAGCTATTATATAGAATATTATATAGAAATAAAAACGAGTTGAGCGTTAAATTCTTTTGCAACGTTCTTAATCGTTTGAATGCAGGCGCATGCGCGCACCGATTCCTTCGCATCATCGCCAAAAACCCTGGAAAAATCCGATAGGGGGCGGCTCGTGCCCCGGTTATGGCAGGACTAACCTACCTGTCCCTGTTGAACATTGTCATTGCGTCGCCGGCGAATTTTCAAATTTCGATTCAAATTTTCGACGCACGTCTTATGCAAAGCGTATCGTGACAGACGTTAAAAAACAAAGCAAAAAAAAAAAAAAAATTAAAATAAGCAATTATTCGGAAATGTAAATACGTGGAGAATAAAGGAAACGTGGACATGGTTATTAGAGCTATTTAGAGTAAAAGCGGCCAACGTTAATAATATGCCAAGTCTTTAATTTAGCAAGGATCTTTAAAAACTGACATAATTCGGCTAGCATTAATATTGGCAATAATATTTAACGCGGCAAGTCGAAAAATAGAAAATATAAGAAGTAACGTAATCAACGCATTTCGTCATAATCGATCAATTTAGTCCAATAAACTTTGGCGTTGAGTAAAGTAATCTTTATCTTTCCAACGTTCATTCGCCCTCTCTGTTTCTCTATAAGATGCGTCAAAGAAAGAGATAAAGACTAAAAGTACGGATTCCAATGGAAGAGCCTCTTCTTCCTCGACCCCCCCCCTCCCACCCAACC